CTTTCTGTGGCTATGCGGTCAAAGTTAGGGGCTCACGTGCGCTTGCGCATGTTGACTCGGTCCCATCAAAGTTGTGCACGCGCACTCTTCACTTCTGAAATAGCCGTCCGAGAGTATATTACGGTAACTGCGGTTGAGGATGTCCGTGTAACAAGGCTATAAAACTCTCTATTTTTGCAAAAAAAAAAAAACGAACTAACATTAAAAAAAAAAAAAACGTTTCCGCCGTTGCGGAGCAAGATTTACTCGCCCCTTAATGTGGTGAAATAATAAAATGCTGGTACGCGAATTCGGTCAATTAACAAGCTTCTATGTGCATTTCAGATCTGTTATTTTATCAAAGCGTGCAAATTGCAAAAGCAAAAAGTATGTTTTCTTCTTTCTTTCTTTTTTTTTTTTTGTGACAACGAAACTTTGTTAGAGCTACAGACGCTTTTAAACACGCGCCAAATTGAGTCGCCATCGCCGACCTTCTCTCGTCTTACCGAGATGCCGAGTCACTGAGGCGGGCGTTGACGAGTCTCAACAAATGCCTATGCTAGGGAGAAGGACACGGTAGCTGCTAAAGTGGCAATAAACTGTCCTACTCTGGTAATGATAAAGTGAAGCGAGCGGAAAAAGAGGAAAGAAAAACTGAAGGTCGGTTATGGCGGCGCCCATGCACATCTGCCTAGAAGCGTCTATACTTTGCGCGGTGTATGCACTATGGTACAAACCGTAACTTTGCGTGAGGCGAGGATGATGAAACCCTATATGGTTGTCTACACTCGTCTTTACCTCAAGGTTTGTAACGAAAGTAGTTCGACTCCTCGCGGAACAACACTAATCTCCTCAATTACATTTTTTTTTTGCAAAGTTTCTTTTTTGTTTCTTTGTATTTTCAAAAATAAACAACGCACCGCCGAACGTTCATTCTCCGACCAAATGTAGCCTTAGCGATTCGACCCATTTGGCAAAGTTTTCGGAACTGTTACCTTATTCAAGAGTTATAAGTGATTTTCTGAAATTTTCACTGGTAAAAGTTTTTGGGTGGTGTCTCGACGCCAATCCAGTACAGGCAATGTGTCACGTGACCTTGCGATGAACCCGTGGTCTATGGCCGGCTAGGAGGAGAGGCGAGGCGAGGCCGAACGCTCGATTTTGCCAGAGCGGGCGGCTGATTTTGCCGAGAGCGGTCGCAGCCTTTGATGCTCCATCACCATGCCGCCCTCCGTGAGCTGGCATCAACGTCCCAACGGCGAAAACAAGGGAAATATTCGGAAATTGGCTTCCAAACACCTGCTGCGTTTCTGCCTGCTTCATCTGACACAAACAAAAAAAAAAATGAAAGGGTTCATGTTTCTATTTACAGCTGTATTATCTTTAGTATGCCAAGGCACACGTACCACACGTTTCCGTGCTTTGGTCGCTACAAAAAGTGGTAAAAATATTTAATATCACTAAAGTAATGTTTTGTGTGTGTGTGTGTGTGTTTGCCTATTTAACATTTAAAATGTGTTCTCGTTAGATTGTTTTTTTTTTTTCCGGTGCTTTTGCGAGACGCGGCATTGCAAGTGCTGCGTCTCGCACAAGCCTTGTTGGCTTACGTGGGAATCGAGCTCTAAAATGTGAAAAAGAAACGGAATACATTGTATTGTATTGTATTGAATACCACTACAGATGTTATATGTTCAATGCGCCCATTTTTATAAGCATCTTCTCTTCTATAGTCGGTGACAGCTCAAGAACGAAGTGGAGACTCCTCCCACCTCTTTCCACTTGAGTAGTGCGAACGCTGGAGAGGAGGTCACCTTCTCTCCACCGTTCGCTCCGCTGGAGTGCAAGGTGCTTCACGCATATGGACCGTTCTCGCCCACCTTATCGCCACACTTCCCCTTCTAGCTCCTCAGCATGATGGAGCCTTTGCAAAATTCAGCGCCACCTAGAAGTGTAGCTGCGGTGCCTATAAGAGCGATAGCTGTTAGTTGGGCACTTCGCGGTTTTGCACCGTCGACCGTGCTTTATAATTATATATCGACGCAGGGGCATTCATCGGCACTCCGCCAAAACATTCCGCGGGCCGCTGATAACAGGATAACGAGCAAGCAAGATAACATACGTGGTCATGCATGGCGGAAAGACAGCATGCATGGTCAGTAAAACAATCCCCGTCGAGCAATCCGGCAGTGCACTGGCATATAGGTCGCCATGTGACCCAAAATTAGTATGCAAACAACAATTCTCAGGAGAAACTCAAATAAAGATGCCTTAGAATTTTACTTTGCATTTTGTATCAGAAAGCAAGGTGAAAGCGAGTGCGTTAGCGCCCCGTCAATGCACCTGACAGACAGAGTTTTAGTTCTCCACACGAATAGATAGAAGGACGGTACGAATGATGTCTGTTTGTTTCAATAAACCTTCATTTGGGAGTGCACTTTGTCTCGTCTACTTCCTCGTTCCTGTTTATTCGGCGCTTTTCGTGTACCACGTGGGATTATTTCATTTGAACCGAAATGACATACGAAATCACGCTCTCCTCGTATACGAAGATTGCTGAAATTGTCCCTACTTAATACGCCCTTAATGGTTTCAAAAGGCTATGGAATTTACGGTTCAGTACGGGACGCTTATGCGGACTCCATATGGTGCGCTCTCGCCAATGTATTGTTCATTCGGTCCATCTGCTCCGAGACGACACCTTAGCGGCTCCGACGTTACACCTCAGCTCTCGCTGTGTTCCACCTCACGGCTTGCGTAAGGGTCTACGATTTAACCCGAGTCCGCCGTTGTTCGGGCGCGCAGCCTCTGAGCATGTATTGGAGACGAAGGCTCCAATCGCAAGCTTCGGGCCCCAGAAATGGCGACCGCCAATGTTCTCGATGGACTTTTGAAAAAAAGGGTCTATTAACATGACCTGCGCGCAGTCAGCGCAGTGCTGTTTACACGGCAGCATATAACAAGGAGGTTAGAAGTACTAGGAGGGGGTACGTAGCAATATTGGTGAAGCCTAGTCATAAAAAGTTTAAACGATTTTGTGCCCAGCGTGACCGCAGATCTGTCTGGCGATTGGTGCGCGTGACATGTCACGTGCGAGATGGATGGTTGATTGTAGGAGGATTCCTTGCAGGCTTGCGCGCGCTCCGTCCGGCAGGTTTTGTCAGATCGAAGGCTAGACGGAGACTAGCTACGGTCACGTGATGTGGTTGGAGTAAGGTTAAAAATGAGAAAGAGGCGAGGCGTCAAAGGAGCATGGCTTGTGGAGGCTACGCGGCTGACGTCATGCCCTCTCCTACCCTTCTATTCTCCATGGCATATAAGGCAAGATCGCTCGTTCCTCGCTTCGACGTGAACGAGAAATACGAACCAAGAAGAAGAAAAAGAATTACCAGCGATCACAGACTGAAACAAGTTCAGCAATCCTTGAAACCCGAAGAGGGGCACATTGAGAAATTTCTGTGTATTTGTAGTTCCGATTTTTGCGTGGAGCGAGAGGGTTGGACAGAAGGATGTATACCTTTTCCGCAAGGGCGCCGCCATCTTGAATTTTCGTCACTCCCAGTATGGCCGAAAACATTGTTTTGCCGCCGCCACGCCAATATACGGCATGTAGGATATAAGCGTAACCGCCACACATTCTCGTTTTGCCTCCCCTTTATTTCTTTACTATATTTACGGGTTGAAACATTTTATTATTTTTTCGTCGCCCATACCGGATACGCTTATTAGCTGGCTGGGGACGAGAGCACACCAAAAAGGCCTATACACGGCGCAAAAGACCTTGACGCGGTCAGCGTGTTACGTTGTGTAGGAATGCTTTCATTTTTTGTTATTTACGTCTGCTTGTGGCGACTGTAATCACCGTAGTCATTATGATGATGAATCTGCAACGGGTCGCTTATCTGCGCCGTCGTGATACCGTTCGATTTTGATCGGTGCTGATTGCTTAGTCCCACGGAGGTCAACAGCTATGGGAGGGTGTACTGGCATTCGTGCCAATTGATGTCCGAAGGTGGTCTGGCTGTGGCCCCGGTCTTCGCGATACAGTTCTGTGCGCGGAAAAACACCGTTTCCTCTCGCCGTAACGAGCATTTGTTGGAAATGCACGAGAAATGGTGAATATTTCTCGTTTCCATGTGTGTGTGTGTGCGTGTGTGTGTGTGTGTGTGTGTGTGCGTGTGTGTGTGTGTGTGCGCGCCTGCGTGCGTGCGTGCGTGCGTGCGTGCGTGTGTATGTGTGTGCCTGTCTGTCTGTGCGTGTGTGTGTCTGTTTAATAATAGCAGGACTATTTTTTTGTACTTGCAAAACTATATTAAAATTGCCAAATATTATAAGAGACGCACCGTCGACCTATATAGCCCTAGTGAATTGATATTATGGAGGTAGCCGGCATTAACAGTGTCAACGTCTGCGTCAGGTTTCATACGTGGAAGAAGAAAATATACCAGGGGTTACTGAAAGAGTGCTATGAGCTGTCCAGTATAAGCGCGTCACCAACTCACGATAGAAATCAACTTACTGTGTACGCATGTGTTTCTTTTACCTGACGTCCTTTGCAAACACTTTTTTTTACTTGACAGTAATCCAAGAAATCACCACGCTCAGCAGAAGCTTCTGAGAACTTGTCAGAAGTTAAACAGAACTGAGTCATAAATCTTCCGACGTTCACCCGGCGAAAGGTCTGTATAAGAGTCCACCACCTGCTAGCAAAGACGCAACGCCACGTAAACGCTACGGAATTACCCTTCGCACAGACAGCACGTATATTATTTCTACGGCTGTTCGTAAGGCTATCGCGTTGGCGATCTAGTAGGAGGCGAAAACAATTCAGACTGCATAAAACATTCCCAATAGCGATTATTGTTCCACGGGCATTCAAACCGCGAGTGAAAACTCGGTCATGATTAAGTACCTAAAAATAAACAAGAAAAACAATATCGGCGACGCATATGAAACAGCTGTTGACGACAGCTTACACGCGAAGTATAGTTATAAAGCTACGTGAGGGGGAAAAAGTGCATTACCTTTTCTGGTGTTCCTCTGTGTTTGTCGTTTCCTTGCCAGAACCGTCGCTCGAAGCCACGGATGTGGCCGATCTGGCTGCGGACGAAGTCAAATCCAGGATTCCAGACCAGCGATCCGTAGCCAAACACCCATATCCCCGATGCCATGGCTGAGTACCGGTCAGTTTGCAACGTTGCAGCGCGGAAAAACTCAATCAAAGCGTTTCAGATTCTTGCCTGGCCGCGTCACGTCTTTGAGAGACCGAATTCGGCGGAAGTGCGGTGTTTTTTGGCCGTTTTGAACGCGAAAATCACCAGAAGTTCGAAAGCAGACGTCGCGAGCCGGCCGGCGTCCATTCGGAGCAGACGACGTGAGGAGAGAAGCGGCCGCGATGGCGCTGCGGGCGCTTCGGCGCGGCCTTCTTGGCCAACGGGAGGCCAGAAAGAAGCCCACGTGACCTCATGCCGGGAGCGCGCGCGTGGATGATGCAAGATGGGAACTGGCTTGCACTCGGCGACGTCAATTATTGTTCGCTCCCTGCTCTTTTCGTTCGAAGCAACGGGAGTGCCGAATGTAACAAAAATAAGCGGAAAAAAAAAAAAACAAAAAAAAAAACAGGGCGCAAAAAGAAGAAACACGTCCAGTTCCTGTTGTTCTGCGGCACGATATTCAAGGTTTATTTTTTATCGTCTGTTCTTTTCCTCGCTGGGGGCGCGACACTGTTGACGTTGGCTTGAGGTCTTTTCCTTTTCTTCTTTTCTTTTTTATGTTAGACCAGAAGCGTACTGTTGCGTGAGAGCCACGTAAAATGTGTTTTTCTGAACCTTCAACAAAGTTCCTAATTAATTTCACAATGCAGCGACATTTAAATAGTCTAGAAATAAAAAGAAAATTGCAAAATATAAAATATATTTTGAATTTTTTTTATTGGCGTCGCCGATACAACGCAGACTTTTTGCCATATTATATGGCAAATAGCCTACTTTGTTCTTTTTTTTTTATAGAGATAAAAAAAAAAGATATGGGAGAAGGGCTTCTGTACACCGAACTGTTTTTTTTTTTTTTGTGTAGTGAGAGATGCATGAAACGCCCTCGGAATTAGTTAACACATCTTACTGTTTTAATGGGCCAACCACAGAGTTTCCTAAATATGTAAGAATTTAAACATCGGGGAACCTTAGTCATTTGAGTGTACGATCAAAGCTAAGTTTAGCTTGCGAAACTTCCAAAACAAACAGTCACATAAAAAATTTTGAAAGTAAATTGTGTTAACATTATAATCTGACCTTTCATTCAATAATGCCATAAAACTTTAAAAATCGGAGTGAATGAAGCGGGAAAAAAAAGACTTCCATTTTTTTAGTTAAAAAAAATTGTCATCGCATTTCTTTTTTTTTTTTCTTACGTTGTTTCCGGCTCATAAACTACTCACAATTAAAAAAAAAGAAAAAAAAAAAAGAACGCCTGCATTTTGTTTTTATGATAAGAAAATATTGATGTTTCCGCCTGTGAAACGAAGGTAGGTTTTACTACATTACTAGGGTGTATTGCCATGAAACCAACCTCAGATTTCACGGCTTGTAGAAATGAACATCGTTTTCTTTTAGTCTGTGTTTACCGAAGTCGCGGCAATGCGTTTTCCTTGTAGGGAATACCGTTCTCGCCGGCTGCTATAGTTAAGTCCATAGCCCCTCAAAAAGCTACACTTCAAAGGTGCGACACTATACTTCGTTTCACCTTATGTTGTACCGCAGCGAAGGCTAGAAAGCGCGAGCCCATAGCGTTGACAGCTGCCCTTAATGCGCGAGACCTTGTGCCGCCGAGATGAGTCCAAGAGCAAGAAGCTCGCGCTTGTAGCCTTTCCTGCGGTACATCATAAGGTGAAATAGAGTATATAGACCGATCTTTATGTTTGGAATATGCAAAAACACCTCGACTCCCTACTGATTGAAGACCCTTATTGTTTGCACCCCAAATCCATGGCGGTAATGGATTGTCTGAAGGACAGTGCAGCGCCTTTGGCATTGATATAAAGGAACTATACTACTCTATGCCGCATGATGATCTCATGTTGAGTGTTAAAGAATGCAGTTTTGATCTCAACGACGAAATCAAGTTCGAAACGCAAAGCGGGATCTCAGGTGAAGATTTCATCGAACTTTTGTCCGTTTATTTAAGGTCCACCTTTGTTGGATGGCAGGACAAAGTTTTCGTACAGAGTTCATGAGTATGCATAAAATCTAGGCCTGGTGGCAGCCGTGCTCAGCAATTTTTTTCTAGGAAAGATCGACCGGGCTCTCAAACTCAGCCTGAAAAAATCTACCAGAAAGATTTTTACATATGAGAGCAGGGATGGGCAAAATACATGCAAATATGTATCGAAATACAAATACAAAATACTTCGTCAAAAATGCATTTAATTACAAATCTAATTACATTTCCAAAAAATGCATTTAAGTACAAGATACAAATACAACCAAATGTATTTGGTCTCCTTCAAATACTTTTCCAAATACATTCCTCAAAATTTGCGTCAGCGACTTCAGGGCACCTGCAACAGGTTTCTGGGCATCTCATTTTAATTTTGCATCGCACACTCGGGAGTTAGTGTGCGAGGCTCTAGCAGCGTAATAGAAATATAATCACAAAAAAAAAAATGCAATGAGCTTGGACGTAATAGGTGAAAGAAGCACAGAGCTTCAAGCAGCTTTTTTTGTCGATTACATTTTAGTATAGACCAACAAAGAACCGAGACGACCAAGACGTGCAGCACTAGCTAGAGAATTTTTTATTGTTGCAACTCGCACCAGTTACGAAAATCTGGACGACCCGCGCATTTAGAATGTTCCAGGCAAAAATATGGATGGAAATCAGGCTGGAAAGCATCACAAGTTGTCACAGGCACTTATTTAGCCAGTCTGCCTGTGAACGTCGATTTTGTCACTATTCTTGCCCTGGACTAGCAGTCTAGCACCGTAATCACAAAGTCACTAAAAGCTCGTGCTTGATTGAGAGACACTGCATTCGGTGCAGAACGCAGTTTTCTTCCTGCTCTGGAGAGTGCCTTTAAAATAAAGCCGGAGGAGAAAAAGAAAAAGGCCCTATGGCCGAATAAAACATGGAGACTATATCTTACAACCACGTGCATAAAAACAAGAATCGTAACTTTGGCAATAACACTTATTTAACGTAATAAAGGCAAGTGCCGTGGGCGCGTGGCGTGCCCGGGCGCCCGCGGTGAGCGAGACGCGAACTGCCGCAGGACTGGTGTATGCAGAGATAAGAGTGTCTAGGTTTGTTGTTGCCGTTGGCGTTGAGATGAAGAAAGAGCAGCTTCTTAGGATGAGCAAAATGAGTCGTGACAATATATTTGAGGGATGTATTTTCGCCCACAAAATTGTATTTAATTACAATTGTATTTGAAATACCCACGCTTTAGTATTTAAATACACACGTCAAATGCATTACCCAATTTTATTTAAATACAAATGCAAAATACACAAAGTATTTGAAATACGTATTTCAAATACTTGGATTTGAAATACTGCCCATCCCTGATTGAGAGGATAGTCTTTTATAAAACTCAAGGCATTCACTGAACAAGATATTCGGTTCACCAATGAGACCCCAAAAGAGAACCATATTCAGTTTCTAGATATCCTTGTGAAAATGAAAGACGAGCATGTGTACTGGGTCGCGCCATTCTAGAACCGCGAAGGGTTATCTAAACTACCAGTCAGCACACTCAAAACACACCAAGAAAGGCATAGCATTGGCCTGTATGAGGTCAGAATTTTCAACATCATGCATCCACAATATTGTCACGAGTGACAAATGAAGAGGCAGCGAGTAACTGAAGAAACTAAGCGTTTAATGGGGCGAACTTGTGCCCAAAACAAGAGAGAGAAAGGCTAGCGTCACAGACGTCGAAGTCGGCGAAACAGCAGGATCGAGCGCTAGGGCGAGACTGACTCCGGCTCGAGACGCGGAGAATCTTTTGTACTGGCGTGGATTTCTGGAACATTCGGCCTAGAACGTTCGGCGCGTAGAACATTCGTAGCTCGATGAAACGAGTGTGTTCTCAAACTTGCGAGAACGACCAGTAGAAAGAATAAATAGAAGAATATTCCGCTACCTGGAATCGAACCCAGACCTTCCGCGCGGCAGTAAAGCGCGGTAACCATTCGGCCACGGATGCTCAAGCACGGCGACTCGCGCGGCATTACTCCCCCCGTTAAAAAGAACATCGTCCCGATGCAGCTTGACGGGGAACGAATCAGAAAAACAATCTAAATTAATGTCAAACTACAGAGGCTTGTAAAACACAGTACTATCGAGAGAGAGAGAGAGAGAAAACATCTTTGTTAACCCTCAATTCAAGGTGTCAAAGTGGTGTCCAGGAGGACGCCATTCAGAAGGGTGAGAATAGGTGGAGCGTAGTACAAAAAACGAAGATCACAGTGCTATCTATCCTAGTACGGCTTGAGGCGAACGACGTGGGCGACTTCCGGTCGTGGAGGGCAGCGCGATAAAGTCCGTGTTCCGTCGCGTATCACCTCGTAGTTCAGATTCACGAGTCGACGAAGCACTTTGTAGGGTCCGAAGTAGCGCTTCAGGAGTCTCTCGCTGAGACCGCGTCGTCGTATCGGGGTCCAGACCCACACACGGTCTCCGGGCTTGAAGCGAATGTCGATCAGCCGAAGGTTGTACTGGGTAAAGATGGCCATAAAAATACGTCATCAACCACGCGTCGCTCACGCTCACGCTCAACTGCGGGAGCGTGATGTCACCGCTGGAGCGCCGTGTGCAAAAGGTACGCTCGCTCGGCGTGCTTTCTTAAGATAGACTGTGAGGCGACCGCGTCTACATCTAGGGCCTCGACATCGGCAGCAGCGTCTACATCTACGGCGGCTTTCGCAGGCGAACGTGGCCGCCCACGCAAATACGCCACGGCCTCCGTAAGTGTCTTCCTCTAGACGTCGCTCTCGACGTGGTCCTAGACCTCGCCCTTAAGGTCACCCTAGAGGCCGTCCTAGAATTCTTACGAGACGTTGTTCTTGATGTCGTCCTCCAGGACGTCATCCTCGACGTCGTCATAGACGTCGTCATTGAAGTCGTCCGAGAGATTGTCCTCGGCATTGTCCTAAAAAAAAAAGTCAAATTTGGGGGTTTTACGTGCCAAACCAACGACGGGCATCTGGCACGCCCCAGCGGAGGACTGAGGATTAATTTCGACCACCTGAGGATCTTTTGACGTGCAACCAAAAGCTCGGTTACATGGCGTCTTCTCCGCAATAAGCCTCCGTCAGATTGCGGGCACCTCGGCCGGGGCTCGAACCCGCCACATGGGGATCCGTAGGCCGACGCTCTCG